GAACTTTCCCAGTGCTGATCTCTTCCCTCCTTCCCAGGTGCTATGTTACTATTACCTCTAGTCACTACCTGAAATCCTTACAGCTCACCACCCAACTTTTCTCTCCCTAACCCATGCTGGTCATTTCCTCATGGCTTGACCAGCTACTGCCTTCATAACCACCCTCTCCTTCCCACTTTTCCAGGATCATTCCTAGCCATGTCACTCAATCCACTATTCTCTTTTTGGGCTTCATCATCCTTGACAGCTCAGCTGCACAGATGTGTATTGTGCCCTCTCCTTAGAACCAAAGACTCACCAAGGCCCCTTTTATTTTTCCAACCATTCTCAATTTATAATCAGTGGACACTGGAATCCAGTTCCAAAATCAGCTCCTTTAGGAAAGCCTTCCTTTACTGATGACTCACTTTCTACCCAGTCATCCCTGTATCCCAAGTCCCTGAGCACTCAGTAGCACACTATGTGTTCCTTTTGTGTTACCCTGTAACTTCTCCCTCATTGAGTATGCTTACTACTGTGGCAGATAAAAAGGTATGCCCAAGGTTCTGCCCTCAAGGGGGTTATCGTCTATTATACACCTGCTGATTGGAATCAGTGCAATGAAAGGTCAAAGGGCCAAAGGAATTCAAAGAAAGGCAAGCATACACTTTGTCATAAGATTAAGAGAGGACTTCACAGAGACAAAATTACTTCCATTAGGCCTCAAGAATGGGTTGGAATTTGCCTGATCAAGACACCAGGGATGTACTTTTGTCAGAAGGAAAAGCAAAGAAGACAGTTTGGCGTGGCTATAGGGTCTTTAATGCCCATTGTCTCTTCCTCTACATATGCATATAAGCATGTTAAGCCTGTATAAACACCTGAGAAAGTCTATCTCCTTATTACCTCCAAAATGCTTAGTACTAAACCGAATCCACAGTAGGTACTCAATACTCAAAATGAGCAATGAACAAAGGATGGACTTTCATTTATTCAAATTTTATCAAAAGCTACTGAACACTTGCCCTATGCCAGAAACTGGGCCACATTAAAAAAAAGAGATAGCCTCTATTTTTAATAAGCTTACAGATTAGTGAAGAGACATGTAAAGAGATAATTATAACATGACAATGGGAGTTTCCTGGAAATGAAGCACTCATGCTCTGTAGAGAAGGAAATGATAGAAACAGTTTCCTGAGGAACGACTATACAGCAGGTAGGTAAGATACAGGAATCCACAGAAAAGGAACAACATGTGCAAAGACACCAAGGTAAGAGTATATATGAAGTTGGCCTGCCCTTCTTCCAAAACTCATCTTCACCCATTTACCCCTTGACTGTCTAACCTCCAGCCACTGGCCTTTTATCAATTTCTTAAAAACAGCCAAACTTGGACATGGTTCCATAGTGTAGCAGTTAACACGTCTACTTTACACGCAGAAGGTCCTGGGTTCACGCCCCAGTGAAGCCACAGTTCATAGTCTACGGCCATGCCACCCTGAACAAGCCCCATGTCTGATCTCGAAAGCTAAGCAGGGTCGGGCCTGGTTAGTACTTGGATGGGAGGCCACCTAGGAAGACCAGGTGCTGTAGACATAAAGAAAATTAAAAAAAAAAAACAAAACCTCAGTCATACTCTCTTGCTCCTCAGGCCATCTTGCGCATGTTTCCTCTGAGACACCCTTCCCCAGCCTTACCCCTGCCTAACCAACTCCCACTCATCGTGCAAGTCTTAGTTCAAATGTCAGTTTTTTAGAGACCTCTAAAAAATTTAAAAAAGTTAATCTGTGATCTACTCTCATGGCTTCCAGTTCTTTTCCTTCATGGGACTTATCAAAACTTGTAATTACACATTTGCTCAAAAGTTTTTGAAATATCTATTTAGTCTTCTAGACTCAAAGTTCCACGAGAACAGAGGTCTTGTCTGTTTTGTTACCCTCGGTATACCCAGCTCCTAGCACATAGGGCCTGGCAAGGAGTGGACACTCAAATTTTTATCAAATGACAACATGTTCAGAACCACAAATATTTCACTTGGATAAAAATATCTGTGTGTTTGTGTATACTGTCTTAGTGTAGTAGGAGAAGAACATAGGTGTAGATGGGACTGATGCACAGAGTGTACAAAACTTTAAGAGAGAATAAAATTTTAAAAAAGAGAGAGATCTGAGAATAAAAAGGATGGAAAATTAAACTAGTCAGTAGCAACGGGGATCTGGCAGGCAGGTACTGGTTCTATCAATAACTTCCACTTAAGAAACCAAGCCCAACTCATCTCTGCCAACTCACACGGGAGTCTGCTTTGGTCGAAGGGGAGGCAAGCTTCCCAGGCCCTTTTCCCAAGCAGTTACAGCCACGGCGATCTCCTCCTCTGACAGGGTGGCCAGTTCCTCCTCCTGTGAAGAGTGGATAGAATCCCTCGCCAGGTGAGGAGGGCCCATAGAGTAAAGAAACTCTTCCCAAACTCTGTGGGGACCCCTCTCCTCTGTTCCAAACCTCAGGCTCATTGCTGACAGCCTTCCCCTCAAGGAAGCTGGGCTGGAGCTGCTTTTGGAGGTAAGGCCGAAGGGCCAGAACACCCTGCTGCTTCAGCACAGTCTCTGCAGCTCGCTGGCATGGCTCCTGAGAACTCAGTGTCTGGAACCAGCTGTGCAGGGCACCCAGCTCCTCTGTGGGCATGGGAGAAAAGAGGTAATCAGCAGACTAGAAATGGGCAGGCAGAAGTAGACCTTCTCCCCTTCTTTGTAAAGTTTCTCCTGTTGCCTTCCCCAGTTCCCTCTGCCATCTTTCTGCTATGGCTGCCTTGTCAAGCTACACCTCATAGTGGGACCTCAATTTTCTACTGCCCATTCTGTAACCTCTACACCAAGCTCCTGGGGTCGGGGCTGGGAGTAAAGTGATAAGCACAGTGCTCACCAGGGAGGTAGGCGGGGTCTTGGAGTAATGGATACAGTGCTCCCCACAAAACAATGTCAGCTAGAGATTCTGTCTCCTTTGTTGCAGAGAAAAAAAAGAGGTACACAGGTGAGACATTCAGTTTCTTTTCAACAATAATAAAAATATCTAACATTTCTTAAGTACTTACATCTCACACTCTATGTTAAGCATTTAAAATTACCTCCCTTCATCCTTATAGCAACCAGTAAGGTGGGTACCAATATTAACCCATTTTCAAAGATGAAAAAAATAGAAAGTTTAATGTTTTTTTCAAGGTAACACTGCTAGAAAGTGGCAGTGTTGGGGTTTGAACACTCTGAATACTCTTTTCCTTCTTAATTTTTATACTGTACAGCTTTTCCTGATCCACATCTCAAGGTCCAACTTACCCCAGCCAGGAAAGGACAGCTCCGACGACTCAAGCTGTTGTCAATGTGAATCAGGGCTCCCCGAACTGGGCCAAGAACATCTTCCCCCTTCTTGCCTTGGACCACTAAATAGTACAGGGCAGCAGACAAAGCTGGCTAAAATATGGGGACACGGGTCAGTATGACCATGCAAAGCAAGGACCTGACTACCATCCCCCATGTCTCAGTCCCACCTGCAGTTCTGTCACTTCCCATTCCAGCCACTGGTTGGTAAGGTCATCTTGCTCCCAACCAGATAACAGAAAGAAGTATCTGCCAGATAGAGAGCAACAGAAGGTGAAATTAGGAGAACCTATTTGTCTAGTCCATTTCTCACCCCACAAAGAAACAGTGGTTGAGAATAAAACCACACAGAGGACAGTAAGCCCTGATTTGATTCGGCCACCTCCCCACATCGAGTACCAGTACTGACCGGCAGATTGCACTAGTGGAGAAGAGGTAATTGCCACTATCCAGCTGCAAGACAGGGACCTTTGGCTGGGTCAGGAACGGGACCACACGCTCTGATGTAAAAGAAAATTGAGGAAAAACAGGGGGAAAAAAGTACTTTGTCAACTTAGAAAGACGACTTTGCATTGTTCAGGGAAAAAGGGAAGAAACATGGGCATTCTCAACCTAGGTTCTAAGACAAGACCACGTACTCCGCAGACAAGCAGGTGTTCAGCAGAGACCACCAGCTGGAAACAGCAGAAGAGGATTACAGAGAAGAGGTGGTGGTACTGGGATAGTGCTGCGGCCAAGAACTGGAACAATTAAAAGTAACTAGTATATCTGAGAATCTGAGATAACGGTGGATGAACAAAATTAACAGAATCGGGAAGATCGGCAAGAGAACCACTTAAGAGTTCTCTTAACCCAAACAGTTGGGAATGAGAAGAGTAAACCAAAAGGAGCGTGTTCTTGTTTTAGGAGAGTAGAGTAAGGAACGACAAAGTTTCCTAGGAACGACAAAGAAGTGTTGTCATGCGAGGAACTAGAGTGCGAGGGACAGGGGGGATCTGGTAGGTGGGCAAAGGTTGGAAAGGGGCGAGAGGTTCACTGGGGTGAGGCAGGGTCCTAGAAAATGAAGGAAGGGAAGCTAAAGATGAGGGAAAGGTGTACTGAGAGTAATTAAGGGAAGTGATTGATGAAAGATGTGACTGGAAAGGAAGAGGGGATGGAGTGACCAAGGATAACGCGGGAGGTTTACGGGAGTGCGTGGTAGGGGTTGGGGTTTGGCGAAGACAACTGCCGTCTGGGAGTCAGGCGTGTTTCGGTTCCGCGCTTCTCATCCACCGCCCACCAGCACCAGCCCCAGCCCAACTACCTTCGGGGCCTACAGTACTGATGCGCAGCTCCGCTCTGCCCTGGGCCCTCCCGGCCGCGGCCAGGACGGGCAGACTCCCCGGGGAGCCCTCGCTCACGAACAGTCTCATTGCGCCGTGGAGCCCACGCTGATGTAACCGGAACCGGCCTCCCGCCTGTAGGCTGAGCGACCATCGCGAGGCCCGCCGGGAAATGCAGTCCTGAATCACGCCATTCCCCGCGCACCGCTCCTGGCAAGTAGACTATTTCTCCCATCATGCAACACTAGGAAACAGGAAAAGAGTATCATAGAGACGTAGAGGCCGCAGGTGCAGTGCTAAAGCGGTACTTTTTTGGTGGGCGGGCCTGAGGAGACGTTTACGCGTAGAGTCCAGCGCACTTTTATCCTCTAACGCCTCCGGAGGACGGTGACAGAAACCGAGGTCTACAATCGTCTTGTTGCCATGGCTTGACCGCGGCTACTCCGAATAGCCAGCTCTCCATTCAAGTTAAGAAGAATTAGAGTTGAGAGTTATGATAAACTGACTTTAGTGACCCAATGGAAATTAGTATGGATATCCTATTAATAAAAAAGAAGGTAACTATTAAATATTGATTTAATATCAGTCTGAAGATCACATACAGCTAGCTGGACAATCTCATTAAAGGGGGCGGGAACATGGGTAGGGAAAAGGTCAGATTAAGGGGAAGTAAGAAGGCTGAGTTTGGCAATAAGTATATTTTATACAAGGAAGCACGTATCAGTAATTGAGAAAGGGATCCTTCTTATTCATCTTCATATCCCTTTAAGAATAATAGTACTTATGAACCAGGCCCTTTTCTAAGCACTTCACATATATTAATTTCATTCTGAAATATTCTATAGAGGTTCTAGGCCTTTTCAAGCTAGGTCATAAGGAGCTTTGCAGCTTCTGCTCATGCTTCGGGGAACACTCTGGTGGCCCTGAGCTGTCATGTAAGAAAGAAGTCTTACTACTCTGAGATTGCCAAGCTGGAGAGATCTTGTGGACATTCTGGCTGGCTCCAGCTGATTCCAGCATTCCAGTGTCATATGTGAATGAAGCTCTCCAGACCAACCCGTCTGCCTGCTGAATACCACCAAATGACCTTAGTCAATGCTGCATGAGACAGAGGAATCATCCAGCTGAGCCCTACTCCAATTTCTGACCCATAAAATTGTGAGCTATAATAAAATGGTTGTTATTTAACAAAATACAAACAAACAAACCATGAGATAGGTTCTCTCATTCTCATTTTACAGATGAGAAAACTGAAGCACAGAGAGGTTACTTTGCACCAGGAACTGTAAAAGGCATTGAAGATAGAATTATTAACAAAATAGATACACATTTCTGGCTTGGCAGAGCTCACAGACATCCTGGGGAGTTAGATAATCAAATAATCATTAAAGTCTGATGAAAGTTATAATGAGGGTTGTCAAGCTTGCTGTGGGAACTCCTAGTTAGGGCCCCTACCCAACTCTAAGGGGTTAAAAGAGGCCTTCTTGTACAAGAGACCTTTCAATTGAGATCTGAATGGTGAATAAGAGTTAGCCAGGTGAAGATGGGTGGGAGTGGAGAGAGGAAGTGTTTCAGGCAGAGGAAACAACATATGCAAAGAACCATAGGCCTCAATGAACTTTAGGAGTGTGAGGAACTAGCGTGTGGCTGGAGTATAGAGTTCGTGGTGGAGAGTGTGAGAAGGCTAGGATAAAGGGAAAAGACTGTAAAACATATTGTAAAATTTGGACTTTGAGGGCAATGAGAAGCCTTTGAAAGGTTAAGTCAGGGGAGAGGCAGGGCATTTTTTGTGTTTTAGAAAGGTCACTCTGGCTTCTGTGCCGGGAATAGGCTGGAGGGGTGCAGAATTATATGCCAGGAGACTAGTTAGGAGGTTTATCATCCAGGCTAAAGAGGGTAGCAGTTCTAGGGATTACAGGAAGTAGGTAGAGTAGATTTAGTAACCAATTAAATATGAGTGGTGAGGAAACAAGAGAAACGACATTTGGCTGCCAGGGTTCTGTCATGAGCAAGTGAGTACACCCTTTGTGTGCTCCAACAGATGAGACTATTTTCCCTATCACAGTGATTATCATACTGTATTTTAGTTATTATAAGAGGGCAGGGACCATATCGTCATCTTAAATGACAATACCCAGCGCACAGTTCCTGCCAGGCACATGTGCTAATAAGACTCTATAACTATTACTGAATTTAAACTTAACTGAATAGTGGTACTGGAAGAGAAACAGGTTTTTAGGGAAGCTGACATGTTCAGTTTAAAATATACTGTGTTTGTGATACCAGTGAAATGCCCGCATGGAGTTTTTCAATGGACAGTGAATTAGATTGGAGATCCAGATAAAGACCTGGACTGGAGATATGAGCAGCATAATGGAGGTCATGTGAGCTGGAGAGAGAGTAAAACCACCTAGAGTGTACAGAGTACAAAGAGCACAGGATCTCAGACAGACCTCTGGGGTTTAAGAATAAGCAAAGGAAAATCCTTTATACAACAGAGAAGGAACTGCTAGAAAAGTAAGGAGGACATCGCAGTGTTTGTAGAAGAGAAAAGTCAATTGTGTTAGCTGCTGCTGAGATGACTAGCAACATAAGGACTGCAAAGTGTCTGTGCAAAGTTAAGGGTGACCCTAGTGAGGAGTGACCTTGGAAAGGCAGGGAGTCAGGGGAGAGGAAATGAAGAACCCTGTGTGTGGGCAACTCTTCCAAGAAGTTTGATTTTAAAAAGGAAGAGAGAGATATGGTGGTAACTGGAGAGCACAGTCAAGGGAGGTTTGTCTAAAGATAAGGAAGACTTGGCTACATTTAAAAGCTAAAAGAAGGAGTCAATAAAGAGGGTAAAGTGCAGGAGCGATAGCTTCAGAGAAAGCAGGAAAGGATGGGATTTGAGCACTTAACAAACATCAGATGAATGAATAGATGAATGAAGTTGGTCACTATTTTGGAAGTCAGAGGAAGAGTTGACAGGTGGGATTCTCCACATTTTGAAAATGGAGCATTCCTGAATGTGGTTCCATAGTGTAGCGGTTAGCACGTGTGCTTTACACACAGAAGGTCCTGGGTTCATGCCCCAATGGAGCCACAGTCCATGGTCTACGGCCATGCCACCCTGAACAATGTCTGATCTCGAAAGCTAAGCAGGGTCAGGCCTGGTTAGTACTTGGATGAGAGACCACCTAGGAAGACCAGGTGCTGTAGACATAAATAATTAAAAAAAAAAAAGGAGTATTCCTGATTAGGACTATGTATATCAAAATGTACCTGGTTTGAGGGGAAGATAACTTTATGAAAGAACTATTATTATCTCCACTTTTTGGTGGGCTTGGATATGACTATAATAAAATTCATGAATGTAATATTAAAAAAAAAAGAGAGAGAGAGAGAGAGAAAGTGGAGGAAACTAAGAAAGAAGAACACTGAGGCAGACTCCCAGTACTGGCAACCTAGCCCTCAGACCACATGTCAGGGGAGGAAAGCTGGCTGTCTGATGTCATCAAGGGGGAGGGACACTCTCTACCCTACCTCTCCAAAGCCAAACAGAAAGCCTCACATTGTGCAGTGGTGAAACAGAGAAGGGGAAAAAAGAAGCGATCAGGTAAGGAGGAAGAACAGGTGTGGGTTTTAAAGCTCTGGCAATGGACAAGGGAGGTCGGTTACTACCTTCAAGGGAGAAGCTGACATCAGTCTCCCATCCACCCCACCTGCTATTATAGCGTCCTGTACTCCTTGTCTATAGTCTCTGCTTCAACTATCATTAATAAATATACTGTGTCATTAGTTAAGACCTGTCCTTAAGCTCCAAG